GCCGCTCCCGCGTCCTCCCCTCTGGGATGCGCCGCTCGCCCCCCGGCCTGCGGTGGGGACGGGATGGCCGCGCGGCCCGGCCCGGCCCTGGGTCCAATAAATACAGTCACAGTCACGGCGCGGGCGCGGGGTCACAGGGTCACGGGGTCACGGGGTCACAGGTGCCTCTTCATGTGCAGCGCCAGGTGGTCGGAGCGGGAGAAGGCGCGCTCGCACAGGTGGCACTGGAACGGCCGGTGGCCCGTGTGCTTGCGGTAGTGGCGCGTGAGCTCGTCCGAGCGCGCGAACTTCCAGCCGCAGCCGTCCCAGTTGCAGTGGTAAGGCTTCTCTCCTGCGGGGCGAGGGCCGGCCTCAGTTTCCCTCCCTGGGACCGCAGTTCCCGCCAGCGCCGCGGCTGCCGCAGCAGCAGCCATCAGCTCCTCACCCCCCCCCGCCAAGCTGAGCCCCCGCTGCGGGTCCTCACCCGCGGGGACCGGGCTGGAACTCAGCGCCCCGCGCCCTCCGGCTGTCGGGGGAGTGGTCCCCCAGGGTGTCCCAGGCCCGCGCCCGCCCGCCCCGCCCCGCCCCTGCCTCCCCCTCTCTTAAAGCGGACACTTCCTCCCCTGTCGGGGGCCCCACTCTCAGCCCTGGAGAAGCAATCTGGCACCGACCCAAACGACTGGGGCTCTCAAGTAGCGGGACAGAGACCGAGGCTTGGGCGCTGAGACACACAAAACAAAAATGGCCATATGAATTTTAAAGAAGAAGTGGGGGGGGGGCTCAAAGCAACACGTGACGAGCGGCCCGAGGGGGGGACCAGAGCCGAAGGGGTTAAAGTGCTGCCTGACTCCCCTGTGTGTCCACCCTGAGGACCCCGGGCACAAAAGCTGCGTTTTAATTAACGCTCACAAGGTCGCTCGGCGGCCTCGCGTTTGAGCCGAGGGTCTCTGCAAAGCCCAGCCCAGGCCCGGGCCGCCTCGACCCGAGGGGCCGTCCGAGGCCGCTCGGAAGGGCCTGGGGAGTCCAGGACAGGGTTCCTAACACTAACCGACAGACAGACATTTGTCACGCGATGACACGCGCCGCTGGTCCCGCGCGAAGGCGGCTTGGGCGGCCCAAGATAACCGGGGACAGAACCCCAATCAATCACGCCCCGCGACGGGCTAGGAAAGGAGCCGTCGTCTGAGATGAGCAGGGCCTCTGGGCTGTGTGCGTGGTGTTTTTTGAGACAGGGGCTCGCTACGTATCCCACACCCGGCCTTGAACTCCCTGTGTAGCCTCGAAACTCTGGATCCTTCTGCCTCTGCCTCCCCCAAACGCTGGGATCCCAGCCAGGGCTCCACGGCTGGTCTCCAGAGTCACGTTTTCTGGGAAATGCATGGCTTCAGAGTGCTCTTCGGCGGCGTGTTGCTTCCTTCCTCCTCGCAGGCCACACACCCCCAAGGACCAGCACACGCAGCCATCGCACTATCTTGAAACCTCTCGATGGCTTTAAGAAATCAGAAATGTACTGATTTCTTTCAAGGCAAACTCTTTCCAGCCTCAAACTTAGAATTAGCGAAAGAAAACCCAGACACTAGGACGTAATGCATTTCACAGTCAGTAAGACTCACTGGGATTTGTTTGAACTCAGGGCTTGACACTCCCTGGGCTTGCACTCTGCCACTTGAGACACACCTCCACTTGTGCTTTTTGTGATTATTTTGGAGATGGAATCCCAGGGACTTTTCTGCCCCCACTAGTTTCCAGCCACAATCCTCTGATCTCAACCTCCTCAATATTAGGATTATAGGCATGCCCCACTGGCACCCAGTTTAAGACACTTTTTTAGCCCCCATACTTACTGAAATCAAGAGGCATTTACACATCCTGGACTCATGATGTTGTTTGCCTGCCTGATGGCAGCATTGCCACCACGTACAATATACAGATGTTACTGTTCAGATCATTTCAAATGGGTCCGATGAAACCCCCAACTCCTAAAAGGAAAGGAATTGGCAGACATTGGAGTAGCTCAGACTTGGAAAGAGATTTTTCCCGGGAAAAGAGAGATTTCATGGTACTCAGTAGACACTATGTGGAAAATGAACTATGCAATTTGTGGGCAGGGACGGGGGAGAGAAACTGGGGGAAAGGAAAGGAAGGAGTGACATTGTCCAAGAAGAATTGTATTCATTACCAGACTTGGTAATGAATGGTAACCCTCTGTACAATACCTTAATAACAATAAAATTATTTTTTTAAAAAAAGGTTAACTCGGAGGAAAGGAATAAAGATTTTCCTAGAGAAAGCAAACTTTCAAGAACCAAAAATATTCTCTCAGAGCTTACGTGTAAGAGTGATGGGTGGGATTTAGTAAATGCTATTTGTCTTTCTGGGAGCCCCTTGTTACTCAGTAAGTACATTATTTCTTAATGTATTTTGGGAATCCATATTTGAACAGTTAAACTACATACTTCATCCTCCCGTTCCAAATTAAAAAAAAAAAAAACGGGGAGTGAGAGTGACTTCTTGACTATTATTGCTGAATGGCCAAGCTAGTCAACTATATCTCCCGCGGGGTATGGGGTTAAAACACCACTGAGAAGGAAAATGAATCCTGGATGTTAACCTGAAATTATTGATAATGGGTTAGATTTAGCAGAGTGTGGGTGGCTCACATCTGTAATCCTAGCTACTCAGAAGGCTGAGATCTAAGGATCTTCATTCAAAGCCAGCGGAGACAGGAAAGTCCATGAGACTCCAATCTCCAATACAATACTCAAAAAGCCAGAAGTGAGCTCAAGTGATAGAGCACTAGCCTTGAGGAAAAAAAAAAACAAACAACAACTTAGGGGCAGTGCTCAGGCTCTGAGTTCAAGCCCCAGCATCAGAGTGCGCTAACACTCACGCACCCCCTGCCCCCGCTAAGTATCAGAATTAAAACAGAATAGGATCAGCTGCTTAAAAGAAAATCCCGGATTCAACAGGGGAGCAGTCTTACAATCTGATACATCACCCACACTTTTGCTAGCACAGAAGAAAATAATATTGTAAGAAAAATGATACTGAATGGAAAATCACAGCCATTAACAACTGATTCAATACAGTAATATAGAAAAGTTGAACTCTAAATCTGAAGCTGCCTTTTGGAATACTTTAGCCCATTTCACCTATATTTTCCCTTTATATTCTTACAAGATTGACATAGAAATAATCCAAGTCAAAGTTTTAAAGAGTTCTTTGACAAGTATGAAAATGTTCAATTATTATGCTATGGTTCAGCGGAGAGAATTTTTCTTCCAACACAATCCTATCATAAACATGAAAGGAAATGCCATTCTACCTGAGATATCTGCCTAGCAGTAATGAGTACATTTTGTAGAACTTCATTATCTAGGAGGCGTAAGATTAAAAAGTTCTAGTTTTCCCATGTATTTTTAACATGTAAGTCCGAACACATTTATTCAGCAAGTAGTTATCTAACCAACTCTAATCTGGTCAAAGGCAGATTTGTATACACCCCATTTTCTCCCCCAACATATTTAGTCTATGATGGAAAAAAGGATCATATGTAGGAGTTATATGACCTACTCAAAATCATCCCAAATCATTACAATAATGCAGACATCGCTTGCACAGGTAAGACAATTAAGATAACACTTTGCTAATAATGTCTTAAGGGAACCATTGTAGCGAAAACTTGGATCTCACTGATACAATGAATTAGATCACATGAAACTTGGGATGGCAGCATATCTTTTTCCCCAAGTTACATTACTGGGCACTTTCTTTCGTTCTCTTTCTTTCTTTTTTTGTTGGTCGTGGGGCTTGAACTCTGGGCGTTGTCCCTGTGCTCTTCAGCTCAAGGCGAGTATTCTACCACTTGAGCTACAGTGCCACTTCCAGTTTTCTGGTGGTTTATTGGAGATAAGAGTCTCATGGACTTTCCTGCTCAGGCTGGCTTTGAAACATGATCCTCAGATCTCAGCCTCCTGAGTAGTTAGGATCATAGGTGTGAGTCACTGGTGCCTGGCTACTTTATTCTTATATGCTTATAGTCAGGTGAAGTCGTTGTGACACCTTTTCCAAATAGCCTAGCATCTTACCTCTTAAGAGTAGATGTCAGTCTGTGTCGGATACCTCAGTGTTAGCCTAATGTTAATGCCTTAGGTTTGATCCAAATACGAAAAAGGAAGGAAGGATGGATGGAAGGAAGAAAGGGAGGGAGGGAAGATATGTTCTCTTTAAGGGTAAATAATTCCCCTATATGTCCCTTAGTTGGCTCCTCTCTATAAACAAACAAAAATCATTTGCAAAGTAGAGGGCAAGATTGTAAGGTTATTTTCAGGTGATGATGCAAATGAGTTAAATCCTGGTCTATCTTAAGATTTAATATCTAATATCCTCAAAGTCAACAAACCACTAAATATCTTTATATACAAAAAATCTTTATATACAAAGATAAACCACCAGACCTAAAAATTTTTAGTATATTACTTTTAGGTCATGTGCCAGTGATTCACACCTATAATCTTAGCTACTCAAGAATCACAGATACAATGGATCACAGTTCAATAAGAGTCCCTGTGTTAATCAACTGCTGTCCACAGTAACATACCTGTCATAAGGGGACATACATAGGAGAATCACAGCCCAGGCATACACTTGAGACCCTATTTGAAAACTAATGTAGGAGAAAGGGTTAGGGGCATAAGTTAAAAGGTAGAATACCTACCTAAAAAGTGTAATACACTGAATTCCATCCCCAGTAACACTGAAAAATAAAAATTTTCTTCAACATACCAGATGTAGGCAAAAGAGAAGGCATGGACAGGAATGGGCTAAAAGGTTAAGATCTTAATATCTTTCCCTTCATAGATTTAAAAGTATGAACAATGTACATGTTGAGCTTTCCTGCTATAGTCTTCGAATGCTTAGTCTTCCTCAAACTAGTCTTTTCCACATCAACATTTTGGGCATATGCTTTCTTTACACAAAGGTAGTTTGGGCATTTGTTTTAAACACTTCTTCACCAATTTTTAATATATCTTATTCCTTTCCATTTTTGTTCTCATTCTTCCTTTCCCTTACATTCACCCTTTTATGTTGGTTGTTTTTAACAGAAACACTGTAGTCCTTCAAGATAGCACTTTTAACTTCTGGGGATAATCTGGACTGAAAAGTTACTAACCTCAAACTTTGTTCCTTTTTTCAGAAACAACATTTTGTTTTATTATGAAAATATACTGGTTTCTCACTCAAGATAGAGTCGGGGCAGGACAAAGTATGAGCCAGGTTGTTCCTTTCTTATATTAAAAACAATTCAAATTTGGACATGTTAAATCTCTAAACCTTAGAGATTAATGAATGGCCATTTTTTGGAATGCTAAATAAGCACCTTTCCTATCTATGTCAGTACAAATGAGCACACATACCACATGATTTTTATGGTGAAGAATTGTTTAAGTTACCACTCTGATAGTAGTAATAAGAGCATCTTGGCTCATTCTAACTGCACAGGGAAATGAAGCTAGTGGTGAAAGAT